AATATAAGAAAGCTGTGAATATATGCTTAGATATGCTAAAAAGAACTTTATTCTAGTAAAATGTAACAAAACGTTCGATAAGCTTCACATATTTTAAATTCAAAGTAAACAAAAATCTAAACAATCTTATCCAGACGTAGTGCTTGGGTTGCAAGACGCCCAGCAACCAGCAGAGCGTTGAAATGAAATTTTAGCTAAATTCTATTGTGCTGTAACTGTTTAATGCTATTTGCTTTTACAATCCTTTAAAGAAATTCGTTTTAGAGATCCGTATACATGATAAGGAATCCAAACCAAAAAAGGTGTCCTACTGCTAAAATCTCCGAAAATTATATCATGAACAAAGTTAAATTTTGGTTCAAGTACAAGTACATATAAGCAGTGATGGTGAAACTTAGTGGATATAATAATACTTATGTCAGGTTTTTTTTATTACTTCCCCACATTTTCCCTGCCTGGATAGAAAGAGAGAACGCAATGACTCTTCATGCCATTCTCATACGTTAAAAAAGATACGTTAGATAAATAAATTTAATATAATAAACTAAAAAAATAAATACTTCTTTTTACAATGTCACATAGGATATGATCTTCTAATCCAATTATTATAATCTAAAGTTTAAAAAATAGGGTAATTTTAAGTCTAGGTATCAAATAATATAACTAACATGTCACAATAATGAAAAAATGCCGCCTTTGATGAGAAATTTTCAAATATAGAGTTAAATAACCCAATCCCATATGTATAGCACAAATTAATTTATTCTAATCGTATCAAATATAAGCCTTCCGAAATAGCGATAGCTCTTTGAAGGAATTCACAAACTAATCTAAAACTTTTACCATCCTAGCTTTTAGTTTGAAAGAGCTTTTATCTCATTCTCGCCATTGCTTTAACTAAGATTAAAACTAATATCACAAATAATTGTAATGATAGCTTTATATAAACAAAATAACTAAATACTGTTATAAAATAAATGAACTGTGACCTTTATTTTAATTATAATAATAATTAATATTGGCAAATCCTGTAGATTGATCTAGAAAGACCTTTACAATTTCCTATTTCTTTTGGGGTTCATTCTATGTTAATGGTGTATCCCAATCATAAGCTTTCAAGTTTAAAAAATAATTTATGATATTTTGGACATCTAAACATATAATAATCAATAATAAGTACTTTCGATATTGCTAAATTATACGAGAAAAAACCTATTTTGCTTCAAACATTACATGCTATAAGCTTTTCACCACACTCTATGTATTTGTACTCGTATTTTAAACTAAAATAAGAGCTAAATGCTGAACAGTATTTGATAAAATTTAATTATGCACATACATTTTTTTTCGGTGAGTATAATTTTGTGAATACGGAGATAGAAAGAGTCTATACGATATAGAAAACATATAGATTTTTTATCTCTATGTTATATTTTTTATTGATAATAAAAAAGGTTATCAAATGAAAATTAAATTATCATAGAAATTAACAGATATCATCAGAATAACAATGATTTTGTTTAAGCTAAGTAAAATTTGAAAGTATACAGCTTTTGTTGGCTAAACTCTGGCACGCGGTAGAGCGTAGAGACGTTCGGGTACCTTTGCAATTGTATTATTTCTTTAGAGCTAGCAAGTTTAGTAAGCATATTTACGTTGTTTTGAAAACTGCTTTTAAACGTATACTTATAAAACGTAGAAATTTCTTTCAATTTTACTTATAGGTTCTTTTATAACACAATTTTTTAAAGGTTATTTGCAAAATTCAAAATGCAAATAGTAGGATATGCTTAAAAGAGGTTATTAAGTTTACATAATCATTTATAATAATAAAAATATTTCTGGAGGAAGAGAAATAGTGATTTCCTTGTAACAATAAGTCCTAAAAACAATAGTATGATGATAATAATCTACGAACGTATATTTGATATAACTGACGTACAAAAAATACTGTAATTGTCATCTATGTTGTCATTTCATTACTTTTAAAATTAAACAGGACATTTTCTGAAATCATTTGGTGACCATCACTTGAAAAATAGATATATGGAACTTTATCGAGACTGGTAGTTGTTTTTATTTCTAAGGAGCTATAATTTTATAGATTTGAGATTTAGAAATTGGATGATTAGTAAAAATGCTAGATAAAATATATACTAATATATATGTGATGAATGAACATATAATAATTTTTTTATATTGCATAATATACATATGTGATAATAAAATATTTTTTGACAAATAACTAATGTCAATTGATGATATAAGATACTATTAATATTTCGTTAACATAATTAAATTTTACATACTTTTAAATATAAAATCGACTTAAAAGCATCTTAGCCATTTTAATTTTAATATTACCTATTAATTTGTTTTCAATATCCAAAACATAAAGGATTGTAATATATAATTTTAACACGTAATGTACTCGTATATAGAGCGTGCTTTGGCAAACACTCCGCCATCAAACTATCCAACTGATAGCATATAAATTTGTGCAAATCGTTTGAAAATTATTTACAATGACATATAAGTATCGACACGTTAAACTACGTGTTAAAACACGTTCTCTTTTATTTTTGTACTGCCAATGGTTATATTATAATTACTATATTATTGATATATATATAAAAAGTAGATTATTTCATTACTTAATATTTCTTTTATATATTATAATTTATAATATAATGATTTATAATTTTACTATCGGATCAAAAAAAGCAATTAATACGAAGTCTTTCTCTGTAAGTGAAAGTGCGACATTCAGTATCAGAATTTTCATCTAGAAACTAGAACTAAACATATAATTGTATCAAATAAATTTCTCAGAATATTTTTAACCATCACGTATAGAGTAAATTGGGTTTTTTATCTATATATTATACGTATATTAAAAATTATAAATAACTCTAAACGTACTACATAAATATAATCATATAATTTAATAAGTATATACATATATTAGATATAACATAAAATATATAAAGATATACTTAACATAATACATAGAATAGAATAAGCAAAAACCATAACACCCACCCCATCCCCATGAAAACGCGAGATAGACTGAATTTCTATAAGAAAATCCTATAAGAATTCTGACACTGCAGAGCACGGCACTATGGCGTAGTGCAGTTACTCACCCTATTGATTTATATTTACTACAGGATAGGTTTTTTCATAAAAAAAGCTTGTGATGAGCTTTTAGATAGTAAAAATTTTCAATTTTTCATTTGATTTTTGTGGAAAAATATACAATATTATATTTTTACCAAAATAACATTATAATTTTCTGTGAAAATGTTAATGATTCGTTTTGAAGCAAATAATATAGATATAGAACCATGTATCATTGGTTTGGAAAATTCTGTATTTATTTCATGAAATATTACTTATTATATGCATAGTTTAAAACATAACTAAGGAAATAATTTTGACGTTATGAAAATATGTACCTACAACAGAAATGTAAAGGACTTATATACGAAAAAATACAATACTGGCACGTTCGACTAAGCACGTGGTACGCAATATCGATTTACTCTTCTATACATATATGAAAATTCCCGATTTTTTATCAATGAAAAATCCTTTGAAATCAAACATTAAAATACGATCACTCTACTTTAAAAGCAGCTTCATTCTATTAATCCAATAAGGGCTAGTTCAGCATAACCTTAAAAGTACTAAGTACTTCCGTATAGGGATGTTTATCCTGAATATTACAAGTAGAGCTTTAGGCTTATCGTAACATTTTTTTGCTTTATAATTAAAAGCTGGTAGAAAAAAATACTTACGTGTATTTCATTGAATTTAATTTTTCTTTTGCTTTTCAGTGACTGATTGTATTATGACAACATTAAATGCTGGCTTATTGGTAGTTAAATTTAATAACATTTTGACAGTTTAAAATTATTATAGTTGAAAATATGTTATAGGTTGTTGTCTCTACGTACATTAAAAGCGCTAGGTTTTGCCATTACATCGAAATAAGTTCATGAAAATGTTCTTTATTAAAAGCTATTGCCCTACTTTACATATTTGTGCAATCATTTATACAAAGGTTGCAATAAAAGAAATAAATATACGAACTCAGCATAATTTCAAATAATAGAAACGATAAAAACTATGGTTTTTAGTGACCATTTGATAAGTTTTATCAACAATTAACGTACATTTTTTTAAGCATAACCTATACGTTAAAAATATATGTTCTTTAGATGTATTTCATGTGAAATTAATTTCTGAAATTCCTAGTTTACTTTGCAAATTGACGGTTTTAAAATAATATTTACTTCTACGAGAGTAGAGCTTTCGTAGAGGTCATTTTTTTAAATTCTCTACGAGTACTATCGGCTATAACACATAGACTTAGACTTTTATATCATATTTATAAACATTTTTCTTTTTACTATTTATATAATTCTATGATTTTATTATTTTGTTAATGCTTATAACTTATTTTTTTAATATATTGTTATTTTTATTTTTTGATATTATTTTTGTTATTTTTTGTTAAAGTATTATGTATATTTTAAGTAAAGTATACTTTAAGTTTTTTATTTAACTCAAATATTTGGACTTATACCTCTTACTCGTGATAAAGTACTCTTTTGTATTTCATCTCATTTTATTTAGATCGAATGTAAATTACCGTCGGCAATAAAGTCGCGTATTTTATACGTTGATCCGATGTGAAAAACAAACGTAACTTTGGGGAAAACATCGCGCCCGGAGCTTACCGAAAGCTAACTTCAGCCTGTTTATTGCTATCGATCTGTTTACAAACTGTAACACAAACACATTCACCAATAAAAACTGTGATTACGATCAAAAAAAATTACTTCGCGCGTAAATTTGACAGATGACAATTATTTTTTTTTCACGTGCGCCGAAAATACTCGGGCGGCGGTCGCGGCCGTAAGCGACATTAGCTCACAACATCTGTTAATATGATCATTGTTAATTACATATGGGCGTTGTTAATATATTTGCACCTGTCCCGAGGAGGGCGCTTGCAGGTACGTCGCTACGTCGTCCACCATGCAGGCTCGCGGGAGGTCGGGTAGGAACATAATACGCTAAAAGGCGCGCATCGCGTGCGGGCTGCGCGGCGCGCCGCGTCCGACTGACGCTGGTTGCTTGCCCCGTTCCCCTCCCCCCGGGATTAGGGTTGTGCGGGTTTTCCGGGTGGGAAAATAATTTATGCATTTATTTTTTTATGTATATGTATTATTTTTTCTTTTTTTTTGTATGTTATTCGGTGTTAGTATAGTAACAGTTAGTAAGTTTTACAAAATTTAGGACTAGTATATTTTTACGCCTCATAATATGAATAATCTAATCTTTAAATTTTATAGTGTAAACCATATCCATGCTATTACTATTAATGTGAAAGTTTGTGAGGATGAATGGATTCATGTTCGTTATAAGTGTTAAAACAAGAATTTATGGATGGATGTTTATTACTCTTTCATGCCAGAACGGCTAAACAAATCTGGATGAAATTTGACACAAAGATAGATATAGTCTATAGTAGTCATTTTTATACGAAAAAATGTACGGTTCCTGTGAGATTAATTTTTTTTGGTCTAGGGACGAACCCGAAGCAAAGCGAGGGTGAGTAGCTACCTAGTATATAAATAAGAAAAAGTAAAAAAATATTTGAATAAAATATCAGCGCCAAACAAAAGTGTAAAACATAACACATTATATTGATTTATTATTGAAGAAGAATGCCTCATTAACACACGATGACGAATAAATCATCTATTTATAAAACAAGTTTTGATTGGTATACCATTTTGGTCTCATGATTAAAATATTTAGACTACAAGATAAGAGATACTAGACTACAAGACTCACGTCACCTACTTAAGAGAAATAATTTTAATTATTATCCATGTTCTAAATAGCATGGACTACAATAAGCTGCGTCATTTTAAACTATATAACGTATTATCAATATCTATCGCTATATAGCGCTTTTATATATACTTATTATTCAAACATTAAATATATCCATATAATAATTATACAAGAACTGCTAGTAATAATAGTAATACTTTAAAGAAACTCCAAAATAATATATCAATTATACAAAATGTATTATTTTATTTTTACATCGTAACATAAATAAAACACCATATTTTCCGCCCCACCAGCCCTAACAGCGTCGTAATGCATTCGGCACTCGCTGCGTCTCGGCGCCGCTCGGACTCGATCGGTACGCGCTCGGTTCCCTTCGGAAAGCTCTTTCGCATTCGGAACATAGACATGACATATCTTTTATACACCCACATATAATATTCGACCTTAATCCCAATAGATAAAGAAAAAAATTGCTCAACCCCAATAAACGTTCAAGTGTTGTATTCGACTTTTGAAATATCCTAATTTATCGAACTCACTAGCAAAAGTATGCGTTCTTATTTTTACATATTTACGGGTGATTTTCGCTTGCAAATACTTTTCAGCTGACGCGTCTATAAATGTCACGTATTGCACATGTGTGTGTGGTTGTATGTGTGTGAACGTTGAAAACACATCTTGGGCGGATCGTAGCGTTGGGCAGTTTTTTTTACTCGGCTAATCTAATATTTCACGTTTTTGTAACATATAAAAACTTGGTAATAAAAAGGACTTATTACTTTATTTCTATGCTTGTATTTTTTATTAATTTATAATAACATGATTTTTGGTTTGAATATAACTATCATGTATTTTCGGATATTATTTTAAGGAAACCGAATTAGTTTTTTATAAACTAAAATTCGTAATTCGATTTCCCTATGACACAATCTCTACATTATATTCTAACAATAACAGTGTATTAGTTGGAAGTCGATTCCAAAAATAGTACATACATACGTTAATGGTATGATGCAGATGTGTATTACTGCGCCTTGCGCAATAATCGCGAGTTCGATTCCCCATTGAAGTTAATTAATTGTACCACTAATTGGTCTGAAGCGCTAAAATTAGAATATAGAGCTGCACGTTCGGGAATTACTATCGAAATTAAAGCACGTCTTATCTCATTTATGCTATTACTTTGCTGTAACACAATTTATGATTTTTACTGCAGATACTTACTAAACCTTGAAATGGATCCGCAATAAAAATGTGAAAAGTTAGATAGTCGTTTTTAAAAGAAAACATTTTGAATTGTTTTAAAGTTTTACAAGCTTTTTAGTTTTGCTGTGGCAATTATATTTTTTACTAAGATATTTTATAACAGTTTACAAAAATTTGCATATCAGCTATGTAATTTATTGAAGTATATAATTTAATAATAAAAAGATGGTGGATAAGAATATCATAATTTGTTTTGTTCATCGAAAACATATGTAGTTTGTTAACATCTCAACAATATGTTATATTTATAGAGAAATAGGTAAAAATTGCGCATCAATAAGCAGTGAATCGCCTAGAAAAAAAAATAAAAATTTTGTACTACTCCGTTGGCAAGACTTTAAAAAAATATATTTACAAATATAATTAATCTCTGTTACCTTGTCTTTGTTTTTGTGATACAAATAGCAAGATGTCCGTAGAGGGACTTTTTAGAGTTCTATTTATCCCAACACATTAGGTGATTCCCTTGAAATGAAAGGTTATATATGCTAGCATTGCCCGCGGCTCCGCCTGCGTTTAGATGACCAAAAACCAAATTCTTAGGTTTTACATATTAGTATACTCTTCCATTACAGTTTTTGTATTTTTTCTCAGAAATGAGATATTTTTCCGCTGTTAAAAGTATCCTATATGCTGACCCGGATTATACAATATTGTATTTTTACCAATTTTTTGAAAAATCTTATTGATTATTATCGATGCAGAGGCCGAATGTATAGTTTTTAAAATTTTTGTCTGCCTGTCTGTCTGTTACCGCATCACAGAAAAACCACTAAAGGGATTTTGATGAAATTTGGTATGGTGATAGCTGGTTATTCGGGTCAACATATAGGATACTTTTTACTGCGGGAAAATATGTCATTTCTGAGAAAAATATAAAACTGCAATGTAAGAGTATATTAATATGTAAAAGAGTAGATAAGTAAGAATTTGGATTTTGATTATCTGACCGCGGGCGGAGCCGCGGGCAATTCTAGTATGATATAAAAACTGTTTTTATCCACAACTTTAAAGTACGTAAATAATAAGACAAACATTGTTTTAATTAGTTTAATTTAAACTATATTTATCACCATACAAATTATTGCCTCAAATAGTAATTGAAGTAACGTCCTTCTTATTATCCTTCTTATAATATTACCGCAGCACGTGACGGACAAACATACATAACGGACGTGACGGACAAACAAAACATAAATAATATATATAGCCTAAAAGACTATGTAGCAATTTGAAATAACCAATAGATAGCCCCTTTCCCGAGCTATCGCAGAACATAAAGCCGGACATGCGAAATTAAAAAGAGTAATTGCATCGATGCCGCGGGCGGGCGGGCGGTTTTTTGTTTCGGGAAAGCGATATTACAAGTTTTTAGAGCAATGTGAAATAGAAGTAATATTGAAAATTAAATTAAAAAGCTTCGCTTTGAGGATTTAATGGATGAGAAATAGATTGGTGATCTTTCATTGTTATGGGTATTTTATAATGGTTTTTAGACCATGAAATTTTAGTTTTTTTTATAGTTTATGAACACGTTTCTTAAATCTTTAAATATTAATCTACTCTACTATTAATTATGTTCTATGCAGACTACCTTACAATAATATTTTGGTTTAGAAATCTTCCGATCTAACAGTTTTATTTATATTTTCATTTAATAAATCATTTCCTCCTTTAAATTATACTGTAGAGGCGATATTTTGTTTGTGGGCTTAATAAGTAAATGCATTAACATTGACCGTTTAAAAAAAATTGACTTCTTTATACTATTAGCAGATCCCAATAGCTTGTCAATCTATACATATAATAAAATTCTAACTAAGCGGAATTAAATATTTTTTGGAAAATCTTATTTAAATAAATATTATTATCGATACAGAGGCCGAATCTATAGTTTTTAGAATTTTTGTCTCTCTGTCTGTCTGTTACCGCATCACAGAAAAACCACTGGAGGGATTTCGATGAAATTTGGTAAGGTGAAAGCTGGTTATCCGGGTCAACATATAGGATACTTTTTACCGCGGAAAAATAAAAATATAATAAAAAAAACTATTCCTATTTTATTTATTTTTTAGCTTAGGCTTTATAAATAAAACAAAAAAATCGGTTAAAAATTAGAGAAGAAAAAGGTACTGAACTGGTTTGTCTTTGCCTATTTATATATAGATAAGTTTTAGTAGCAATTTAAAAGTTTAATCAAATATAGCTCAGTACATTATATATTGATTCCTCGTAGGACTCGTTCTCATATAATTCTTAATAGTCGGGACACGATGCAATTGCTTCATGGCTTGAATAATAATGTTAAGAATGTATGGCATTTATGAAAACAACGCAAAATTGTACATTTATGCATGCAATGCAATATAAAAAAAATTACTAGTACCCAGCTGTGGCTTTACTCGGATTGAATTATTTAGTCTGTGGTAGCCCAGTGGTAGCGCGCTTGCTTGGGAAACCGAGTGAAGCGGTTCCCGGGTCTTGCAACTATGATATTTTCATGTGCGAATCATTTCTCACATAATCGTCACATACGTCGAAGGAAAACACCGTGAGTAAACCTGTATGTCTGAGAGAACCTAGCAAGTTTTCGAAAGACAAGGGGGGCACATGCCCAACAATGGGACGTTAAAAAGGCTGGATACAATTTAACCTCATAATATTTTCTAAATATAAGATGAGATACAAATATATGTCAAACGCAATACTTTTTACCCGATTGCTAGGAAAGGGTTATGTTTTTCGTGCCTATCTTTGTATGTTTATTTGTAATATTCTTTATCCCCTCATATCTTCCAAATTCGATTCGAATCGACGGATTTCTTTAATTAAGTATCATTAGATTCGTGTCATTAGTCCAAGTGTTCTTAGATAGGTGACAAAAAAATTAAATATGGATCTGCTACATTCCATAATGTAAAAAGAAAATAGTGCCAAA